CTTCTGTGATTGGCAGGTGGAACTGTCAGTCAGCTGGCTGGGGGGGGGGGGTACACGTTACCAAGGCAGAGAAATTACTTCCCTCAGACTGATTTGAATACGATTTATAACCTTGAAAAACAAGACAATGTATATAAAATTAAAACAATTTTATACATAAAATATAAACTTTGCACTTTCTTGAACGTCGTGCTGTGACTTTTTTGTGAGTTTTTTGAAGATCCACCATTTAAAAGGCATGGTTTTTGATCCATGAATAAAACGTCAGAGGTTCTGAAATGAAAAAGAACTGCAAGAAAGCGAAGACCTGCACCTGACCCGCGGACGGCCCGCGGGGCTGAGCCGGTCCCAGGATGGACGGCGTGAGCCAACACCCGCATGGGAACCTGTTTATGAATAACACAAGTTCACACATTGGCAGACAGAGTGCTACACAAGGGCTAATGCCCAGTGCTGAGTGATCACAGATTTCATGTTTGTNAGAGAACGAGTCTCTAGTACAACTTACAGTTATTCTATGGCAGCGGTTTGAGCGTTTCTCCAAGCATTAACTTCAACACCCACAATGCTTTGCTTTGACGCGTCAGACGAGGCAGCCCAGGAGTCCTGCTGCTTAGGGAGCGCGATGGTTCAGTGCCGAGCTCCGCTTCTCGATGCGCACGGAGAACCGGATCAGCACGGAGCGCTGGAAAGCGGCGCTGCAATGCCGGCTGCAGCGTGCTCGGGAGCCGGGGACCTGCGGGGACTCCTGCTGCGGAAAGTGCCGTGGGATTTTACCTCCGCAGGTTTCCATGATTGGATATTGTGGGAGCAGCTGATGTTGCATGCGGATAGTTCAATATATAAAGTGGATTTGCCGCTCGTCTTGGAGAGTCTTTACACCTATGTTTATTTTTGGGGTGACAACTTTGTGGATGAAATCTGAAATTTAAATCAAATCTGGATGTAAAAACATATCACCGTTTCTCATGTAAAAGTAAAGGGCATAGTCCCGGACGGGATGACACATGGCTGCCTCATATCGAAGTAAAAACTTTGCGCTCCGCATGTGATGTGCGTTTCAAAGTCAGCCCTGTCCGGGGTGCAGTTGTTCGTCTGAAAGCGGATACTTCGGATACCCACACGGGATACCCACGCTATGGATTATACAAACACCCTAATATCACCTAATGTCAAAGACGCAGGAATAACGATGTGCATCATTCGAAGAGGAGGCTGGTGACTGGTACGTTTCTCACTCACGTTATTATTAATTAATCGGTTGTTTTTTGGAGATACTTCTAGGAACATGCGGCGTTTAATGGGAAACATGAGACAGCAATGAAAGCCCCGAGATGCCGGTCATAAGTCAGAGAAACGGCGAAGCGACGCGCTTTATTAATCCCAGGTGCGGCTGTCGCGCTTTAGCTCGCCTTTTAGATGCATTCAGGGACGCTGCCCCTTTTCTGACTAGTATTACGGTTTGTGTATTTTTATTGTTGTTTCTTTGAAATAGAGGCTATTTTGTTTTCTGATTCTAACTTTATTTTACTGATAGCACATATAATTGGGCATAGTAGCCTATAGCCAAAGTCTTCATCAAATCGGTTTAATATCCATAGTCAAGTTGCGCAATTAAGTTACAGAAATACAGCTGTGGCATGACTTGAAACTTGTATTTCTTTTATGATGTTTACGCCTCGCACCGCTGTTTTTAGCGCGGTGAGGGGCTCCGCACCTGAAGCCCGAACAGTCGGTGCACTTGCGAGTGGCGGTACCGGGGGGCGCAGGTGTGCGGGCAGGATATATTCATGTTAATAAATATATAATTTCCCTCAAGTTTTTTCAGCTCTAAAACATTTTCTAAATATAGTCAATATTGTTTTAACTTAATCGACGCAGAGATCATGCAGAACTGCGGTGGGTAAAGTGGCTCCGAATTCCCTTGGGGGCGCCGTCCTCTCTTCGGCTGCTACGGGCGAGTCGTGGGGGCGGTGGTGGGATGGGGGGGGGGGGGGGGGGGGGGGGGGGGGTCATCTACTGAACACTGAGGAAGTGATTTAGTCTAAATAAAGTTAGGAATAACAAGGTTATTGTACTTCAGCAACCTAATTGATTATGCGGTTTCCTCACTAAGTGGCTCTTCTCATGGGATCTGTAAGGACTCGGTCGGAAAACACACACGCAGGATTCATATTTAATTCGCCCCATATTCGGGCAAGGCCAGGCCGCCCGCCTCAGAAGCGTCTGGGGTCCAGCTGCAGCCTGACCTGCTACCAAACGCCCACCATCTTTTACAGAGGAAATTGTGGGATTTTATAACAGCATGCCGTGATTTTCTTTTCGGATGTTGGGGTTGGATACCCCAAAACCCTCTCTCTTTGAAGTTTCCCCAGGCAATATCTGTTTCAAAGACACGGAATTACTGCAATTTTTTTAATCTTTCCACCGTCAGAAGTAGAGCTTGCCTTAAAGTAATCCTTGTGTTGATTAAAGCCAATTAAATAAAAATTTACTTGTTAAAATTGTAATGAAAACAGACATAATGCCGACATAGTGCAAAAAGAACTTAATGCATGATTTAATTTATAGCTGTGATCTGCAGCCCTGGTACAGACCCCCCCCGCCCCCAGCCCGGCTCTCAGCGCTGGCCTGAGCCGCTAAGAGACACATAAGGAAACGTTTGTTCCCGTCGCCTTTGAATGGGGCCTTGTACCCGGGGAGTCTGAGGGAAGACAGCGCAATACGACGCATAAGCGAGCGCTTTGTCGGGTACTGTAACAAGCATCATCATCCGCGGGTCCGCTTTCTGTTTCGGTGAATGGAGTCGACTTGCGCAAAAAAGGAAAAAGGAAAACGCTTCTCTTCTCTGTAGGCCTACTTATAATCTAGTACATAATGGGCCAATTGTAAATTATCTGGGGGTGTTTGCATTATCCGTATTGTTTTACATAAATGTTATTTTTCGGGAGGGTTTTTATTTGATTGCCGACCAACAAAACAAATGTTCCCCACAAACGTAAAATTATGACCGAGGACCAGAGCGAAGAAGGAACGGGGGTGAATATTTACCCAGGCGGGGGAGTGCAGCTGTTCTGTAAGGTCTAGAGAGGTGTGTGGAGCGGAGGGTCGGAAACACCTGCACTGCGAGCACCGCGGACCTCCAGTAAAACCATTATTATTCCGGCAATGCGAGAAGGTTCATTGAAAGGGCTTTTTGCAGGACCGAGCCGCAACCCCCTAACACGCCGCAATGTTTTCTTAGCTGTGCGTTTCTTACATGTTACAACCAAATGTACAGCGATAAAATTACAACTCAGTGTTTTCCAAACTAAGTATTTAGATAATTTCTGTAATTAATACCACCGCGGTATCAACGGGAAAGGTAGAATAAACAAGTTACTGGAGGTTAATGTTTTGCACTAAACGCTTTTGCAATAAAAATAAGTTTAACACAGACCTTAAAGTGTGCCTGGTAATCTGAATAGCCTATGTATTTACTTTCATTATAAGGAAAATAACTGCCACAATAATTCGGATTTAGGGCATGTTCAACATTGAAAAGCTCAACGCGTTGTACTTCGTTTTTTCCCCCTACAGGCGTTTTTCTGCGTTTTCATCTCGCGTTTGTCCACGTTCTTGTGCGTCTTCATACGTTTTTAATATTGTATTAGCAGTTTCTGTGATAGTGCATGATTGTCCCTAGTGTATGTGGTGTAATATTGAGTAAAAAGGCATACAAACACTTTGGAATGCGTTTGTATCCATTTTTCATCGTCATCAATGGGAGTGCGCGTGCAGCAGCGGCAGTGCGCTAGTGGGAGCATCATACATACATTATATACTGTACATGGCCGCCTATGCAATGTAGGCCTATGTTGTTCTAGCGAATCACAGAACTTTCCTCTTTTTCTTAAACTAAGAAATTACGTGGACAAAATAAAAAATATACTTTTGTTCATCTAAAGCCAGGTTCCCCAGTGACGCCCCTGGAGGGCCACAATCCAGTTTACAGCTTTCCCTGCTCAAACACACCAACTAATTCGGGTAATTTGCTTATTAAAATGTGTTTTAAGCAGGGAAATCTGCAAACTGTGTTGTATTCAGGACCGGAATTATAGGGAACCCTGCTCCAGAGTGCAGAACAGGGGTACACCCTGGATGCGATGATCCCAAACCATCTTATTGTGTATTTGAACAGATCATCATTACAATATGTGCAATATATAGATGTGGAGCCTGCATGTTCTCGCTGTGATGTGTGGGTTAGTTCAGACACACACTAGTTTGAACTGACATCTCCATACCGCCCATAGTGTAGGCTGTGTCTATGTGTGTACCTTATGATGGGTACGACTGCCATTCAACTGTGCATCACGGGATTGGGCGCAGCGCTCGCGCGCACGCACACACACACACACACACACACACACACCATATATATAATGTTGCAGAATACAGACTGCTCATACTCCCCACACATGCATACAAGCGTCTTGGTAGTGAACAGTGAAGGATTTTTGGACTTTCCAGTTTGCAGCACCGTCCCTTCCATTTCACGCCGTTTTCCCACAACATCCGCTCCGTCTCCCCGTCGTTCCACTTCGTGTTTTAATTCCATCTTGCTTTTGCGTGCTAGTAAATTTACAGACTCCCGAAATAAAAAAAATGAAACTTAAGGGGTTGCGTGAGACTTTAAGGTTGGGAAGAGCAAGCGAAGGTGCTTCAGAGCGAGGACACATTTTTAAATGATAATTTTTTTTTAATTATTTAGGCTACCCCACGTATTTAATATTCATTCATTATTAAATATGCTGTACAACTTTAGGTCATTATAAATATGTCGTATATTATCATAATATAATCTAGATGTAATTTATATGTGAATATATGTATATGAGAGAACGAGTCTCTAGTACAACTTACAGTTATTCTATGGCAGCGGTTTGAGCGTTTCTCCAAGCATTAACTTCAACACCCACAATGCTTTGCTTTGACGCGTCAGACGAGGCAGCCCAGGAGTCCTGCTGCTTAGGGAGCGCGATGGTTCAGTGCCGAGCTCCGCTTCTCGATGCGCACGGAGAACCGGATCAGCACGGAGCGCTGGAAAGCGGCGCTGCAATGCCGGCTGCAGCGTGCTCGGGAGCCGGGGACCTGCGGGGACTCCTGCTGCGGAAAGTGCCGTGGGATTTTACCTCCGCAGGTTTCCATGATTGGATATTGTGGGAGCAGCTGATGTTGCATGCGGATAGTTCAATATATAAAGTGGATTTGCCGCTCGTCTTGGAGAGTCTTTACACCTATGTTTATTTTTGGGGTGACAACTTTGTGGATGAAATCTGAAATTTAAATCAAATCTGGATGTAAAAACATATCACCGTTTCTCATGTAAAAGTAAAGGGCATAGTCCCGGACGGGATGACACATGGCTGCCTCATATCGAAGTAAAAACTTTGCGCTCCGCATGTGATGTGCGTTTCAAAGTCAGCCCTGTCCGGGGTGCAGTTGTTCGTCTGAAAGCGGATACTTCGGATACCCACACGGGATACCCACGCTATGGATTATACAAACACCCTAATATCACCTAATGTCAAAGACGCAGGAATAACGATGTGCATCATTCGAAGAGGAGGCTGGTGACTGGTACGTTTCTCACTCACGTTATTATTAATTAATCGGTTGTTTTTTGGAGATACTTCTAGGAACATGCGGCGTTTAATGGGAAACATGAGACAGCAATGAAAGCCCCGAGATGCCGGTCATAAGTCAGAGAAACGGCGAAGCGACGCGCTTTATTAATCCCAGGTGCGGCTGTCGCGCTTTAGCTCGCCTTTTAGATGCATTCAGGGACGCTGCCCCTTTTCTGACTAGTATTACGGTTTGTGTATTTTTATTGTTGTTTCTTTGAAATAGAGGCTATTTTGTTTTCTGATTCTAACTTTATTTTACTGATAGCACATATAATTGGGCATAGTAGCCTATAGCCAAAGTCTTCATCAAATCGGTTTAATATCCATAGTCAAGTTGCGCAATTAAGTTACAGAAATACAGCTGTGGCATGACTTGAAACTTGTATTTCTTTTATGATGTTTACGCCTCGCACCGCTGTTTTTAGCGCGGTGAGGGGCTCCGCACCTGAAGCCCGAACAGTCGGTGCACTTGCGAGTGGCGGTACCGGGGGGCGCAGGTGTGCGGGCAGGATATATTCATGTTAATAAATATATAATTTCCCTCAAGTTTTTTCAGCTCTAAAACATTTTCTAAATATAGTCAATATTGTTTTAACTTAATCGACGCAGAGATCATGCAGAACTGCGGTGGGTAAAGTGGCTCCGAATTCCCTTGGGGGCGCCGTCCTCTCTTCGGCTGCTACGGGCGAGTCGTGGGGGCGGTGGTGGGATGGGGGGGGGGGGGGTCTTTCAGCAGGCGTGAGGCTCCTTACCTCCCAGAGTGGCTCTACTCAGCTGTGAATAAACACCCCCACCAGTCACCCCCCCCCAAATCATCCGGGACATCTCTGCGAGATCACATTTTAAGAGAACTTGGGCTCCCGCATCACAGCCAGTGAGACCGTGTCAGTGGGAGATATCTAGGAATATTTCTGTAGATGACAGCATCAGGCAGTTTCACCTGCAGGAATGATGATATCTGTAGCTTTTATATGCCCATGTCTTTTCTTACAGTGGAAATGCTGCTTGTCATTTTAGTCCTTGGTCGGGGGAAATGGTTTCATCATTACCCCTCTCTCCACACTCAACGTTTGCAATGCCTAACGGTGACTTGCCATTTAACCATCCACTGGGTTTGCTGAAATAATGTTTATTTTTCACTCATTTTTAAGTGCTGTTGTAGGATGTAAGGGGGTGACATCCTGAGTGTGACCTGCCCGTGTGACAGTGGGACGCTCGGGCTTCCTCTCACTGGACCTCCTGGTCTCCAGTCCCTCCTCAGGGCTCCTGGACTGGAGGCAGCTTGCTGAGCCCTAACTGCGGGCTCCGTGGCTGTGGTTCAGTGGGTATGGGGGCCGCTTCGAGGGGGGGCTTTTCCCTTTGGGTGTAAGCTGTTAGGCTGGGAAGAAGCGAGGAAAGTACACTGGCGACAGCTGGGGCTTAGCAAGGCTGTGAGCTGCTCCGAGGGACACCCCCCCCATACGGGCTGGTCTTTACCCCGTTAGCCTGGTGTCTTGCATCTGGTTACCCCCCCCCCCCAACAATCTTCCCATTCCTTGGCGTTAAGGAATTTCCAGCTATTGTTGTGACCAAAGACAGTGTTGCCTCTGTGCCTGTATATGGTGCAGCCATAATGGCTCCCCTGCCCCCCCCCCCCCCCCCCCCCCCAAACCCCCCCCCCCCACACACACACACAGTGCCCCAGCCTTCATTAAAATCTTCTTGGAACAAGCCTTCCTTTCTCCTCTGAAGAGGGACCCACTGTCTGCCGGCAAGTGACTCTCAGGGCGGCCATTGACGGTCGGACACTTGGTCCACAAAAGGAACTGCAGTGTCAAATCAGCGTGGCTGGGTCCCCGAGACGGAAGAACCGCCCCCCACCACGGAGGGGGACAAAGGCGGACTTTGTGTCAGCGAGCGTGCCCTGACAGAAACACTGAACCTTCCACTGCCGTCCTCATCCTCATGCCTGAAAAGGATGCATGTCCTCCGGGCCGGGAACTGGGCGTGGCTCTCCCGGGAACTGGGCGTGGCCGTCCCGTGAGTGAGAGCATGTGAGCTGTGTGCCTGGCTGCGTTTCTGTGCATCTCTACATATGGGTCCGTCTGTACTTGTGGTTGTGTTAGGGTGAAGTTAGCATCTGCAGTTGTCTCAGATGTTTGTGTTGAGATGGAGTTGCTGCTTTTTTAAAATTTTCTGCCATGTGTGGATTATTCCCTGTTTAGATTTGGATTATTCCTTGTTAGAGGTGGATTATTTAAATGTGTTTATTCTGCAGACGCTTATACAAAGCGAGGTAGATTTCAGAAAGGAGGGTCAGACAATCCTTGGAGCAATTATGGATTAAAGGCATCACTCAAGGGCACAAAGATGACACCACTCCAACTCCAGACCACAGACTACAGATCACAGACTTCCAACAGCCTAACCAGTGCACTGCACTATTCCCTGTTAAATGTAGTTTATTTCCTCTTGTTCCCCATTACATATAGATCATTCTCTGTTATTCACCATTACATGTGGATTATTCCCAATCCTGTTATTCCCAATTCCCTGTCGTCCCCCGGTTAGGTATGGGCTATTCCTTGTCGTCCCCCGTTTAGGTATGGGCTATTCCCTGTCGTCCCCCAGTTAGGTATGGGCTATTCCCTGTCGTCCCCCGTTTAGGTATGGGCTATTCCCTGTCGTCCCCCGTTTAGGTATGGGCTGTTCCCTGTCGTTCCCCGGTTAGGTATGGGCTGTTCCCTTTCGTCCCCCGGTTAGGTATGGGCTGTTCCCTGTCGTTCCCCGGTTAGGGATGGGCTGTTCCCTTTCGTCCCCCG